TCGCGAGATCTCTATCCGGCCTCGTAGTTGGTACTCCTGAGGTCTGCCATCTTGCCCGTAGATGTTCTCAGTGGAATCACGCAACCCGTCCGACGCGTGGTTGTCGGTCAGTTTCCTCTTCCTCTGCTGAGCCATCACCTTCTCTAATTCCTTCGAGTCCACCGTGGCGATGTAATAGTGAGACCCGTAATCTGGAAGCGTCTGTGCGTGAGTTATGAACATCTCCTCAGCCTTGTTCGAGTCCAGGCCGCGTCTGTCGCGATGAGCTTGGTGGAGTCTAGCTCGAAGAGCCTCCGCCCCTCCGTTGTTGATCTGCGATTGAGGCTGATCTATGTTCAGGATCAACGACTCCGGGACGTAGTGCTCTAGCAGGAAATAGTCGCCGCAGCCGTGTTCCTGGATGGAACAGAGAGAAGTCACGCGTTATCGGGCTGAAACGAAATGGAGATAATGGACCGGAAGTGAGGTCGCTACTGAGGAATCTGGTGTGGGGTTTGATCGATGGTTTAGCTGGGTGCTCGCTGTGTTTTCCTTTTTATTTCGTTTTATTGCTTTTTTCGGGGGAAATAGGTTATACTTGTTTCATGTTGTGGAATTAATGAAGGTTAGGCAAGTCGTATATGAGCCCTTCACTGCACAAATCGATTAACTCCACTTTTTAAAAAATTTTAAAAAATTTAAGTGTCAAAGCATTTAATATAGTCATAACTTTTTGAATTTCAGATTTTTCAAAAAGTGAAGTTAATCGATTTGTGCAGTGACGGCTCATATATAGGGTTTTCTTAAATTTGTGCATTGAAAATATTTTTGTTATTTCAATTTTTAGTTGTAGTGATAGATATGTTTTGTTGTAGTATGAGAGGTATTAATATTTTTCCTTCGTTGTTTCATTTTTACTCATGTGTGATTAGTTGATCTTCAGAAATGGTTGAGTGTGTGTAAAAGAGTAATATAATTGAGCATGATCAATTGAAAAGAAAATATTTTTCTTTTCTTTTTTTGGGAATAGTCACTCAAAATAGGAAACTTTATTTATAAAATTAATTAAATTAAATTGTACTCTTAATTGTACTGTACGTGCTATAGTACTCTATATAGTATAGTATATAGAGTGTAGTATAGTATAGTACACTATAGTGTAGTATACTATATAGTACTCTGTATGACTTACTATTATATTATTTACTATTAATTTTACGTGGAAAATAATGAGAATTAATTAATAGAAGAAAATATATGATAGAATCATATGAAATTCAAAATTTTTCATCGAACAATCAGCATTCCATATATTTTTTCGTGATTTTTAATATCGTATGATAGTTTCGAAATTGATGTACAACTCTATCAATATCCTTAAAAGCAATGAATCTCCAATATACTCACGTTCACGTTGTAATTTCCAAATTCAGCTTGAAGAGCGAGTCCAGTCAGATTAATTAACTCTGGATAGGGACAGACTAGTTGTTGCTCCAATATACAACGTCGTATTTGCAAATACAGCAGATGTTTCGATATCCAACTCCTAAACAGATCATTCGCGATTGATCGAACTTCATATAATTTCCATATCGTTTGTTAAAATACCATCGACTATCGTTAGTGGTAAATATGACAAACACGAGTAGCTTTTATCGATAATAAATAACTGAAAACAAAAGAAAATGTTTTCGGTAGAACGATTCCATTAAATTGAATCGTCTCAAATTTTCTATCAATTACTGCTAAAAATTTAAATTTAAAAAATTTGTGTAACAAACACAGTCCAATAAAGTACTATTACTATTGCCAATAAAAACTATTACTATTACGTATGTAATAATTGAAATGATTAAAATATAAATGTATTGAAATTTCGAAATATTCTATAGCTTTTACAATTTCTTAATTTTCAGAAAATATTTTTTGGCAAGAATTATATAATCTTCACTCGACAGTCGACAGTAAATCCTTAATAAATTCGTAAAAGAGCAATACATAGATGAAAAATTACCATAATAAGTTATTACAAAATTCTCAATATTATTAAAATCCAAATACAACAAAGTTTCTAAATATTCCATTATTTTTGCAATTGTTCACCTCCCAGAAAATACATTTTAGTAAGATCAAGTGCTATCTGTCTATCCTATACGACATAATTACAATTCCCATCGTGACATCTTGTTAAATCGAAATACACAAATTTTTACTAGCTCTTCACTGGAATCCGAGTGTAAAGCCCATCTTTGAAAGAGCTTTGGTATACCTTACACCACGTAGAGATGGTAGAAAGAACCTGAGCCTGAGATACAGCATAAAACTGGTCGGAAGGCCCAGGAGACCCTTGCTTTTGCCACTGCTTAACCATCCCGGTGGCGCGACTTTATTCAATTTAGTGTCGGGTGGTAAAATCGCGAAATCGCCCGCTAATAGCACCGCCAGACCAAGGGTGAAGTTTTCGTCGAGGCTTTCAGCTTGCATGATGGCCTGGAACCATTTCAAACCCATCCATTATGTTAACGGTGTAATTACGTGAGATCAGAGATAGATTTGATTAGAAACGTATGTATATATACATATTCGTTAAATGGGTGCAGAATTCTGTTGTATGATACCTTGGGTATATTCAAAAACAATTGTTAGTATATTCGAAACCAATCCGAATATTGTGAGATGATAATGTTTGATGTATTTTAGAATTAGAATATTTTAACCCCTTGCACGATAAATGCGAGATAACTGCGAGTCCATTCGAGATATTCATACTTAGCCCGAGATTTAGACCACGAGTCAGACTCGAGATATTCATGTTTGGCCTGAAATGTGGATAACGAGTCAGACTCGTGATATTCATGTTTGGCCCGAAATATTGATCACGAGTCACACTCGTGATATCCACGTTTGACATGAAATTAAACAACGAGACTGATTCGTGATATTCGAGTTTGGCCTAAAATTTTCATCACGAGTCAGACTCGTGAAAATAGTGCAAGAGATTAATTAGTTTCGACGTGAAGTTGATTAGGTTCGTTTGTGTAATTATTTGAGATATTATTGGTCTGAACATTGACTTAGATTTTTATTAGATATTTACAATTTTTATTAAATTTTTTGGAATTATTGGAATTAGATTATTTACTGAAAGGAAGATAAGATATATGAATTAGGTTACCTGCTATTTCTCTACAGTCTTTTTAAACCTTTCTTTAATTTTGTATATCTTTCAATAAAAATTTAGAATAAGAGATATGTATCAATATTAAAAATTATTGTCTGTTTCCTATAAGTTAATTCCTAATTTCCTAGTTTCCTAATTTCCTAAATATTAATTATTGTAAATAATAAAATAGAAGATAGAAAAATTATGAAAAGAAAACTAATTTTTTCAGCTATATGAAAGAAAGAGAAAAGAATCAAAAAATTTTTGGATTGATTATGGTACTTAATTCATTCTAGGGATATGTTAATCGACGATATCGCGTAACTTATGGTTTGTGGATTTGTTATATATAACAATTAAGCTGGGCAGAATGCCAGAGTTTCTCATGAGTTCACACCGAGAATTTGTGGTCTCATGAATAACCACCCACGTCTGAATCTTTATAGCATTCGACATCTACTGCACAATTCACAAAATAATACTATGACCCAAATCCTATTTATTCATGAATGAAAAGCGTTTGGTATCGAGACGTGAATATCTTGTAACGAAGATTTAAAAAGGTAACAATGATATGGAATATGTGATTGAAAATAATAATAATAATAGTCATAAAATACGGAAACTATACGGGTGAAAAAATTTGTAGATAATTTTATATCATTTATAATTTTATATTAAAAATAAATATGAAATTAGGGTAATAAAATATTCGAGTGTCGATAACATACATCTCACACAGTATTTTTAATAATTTAAAATGTGGGATACTTTAAACGCTATTTGTCAATGATTTGATAAATACGTGTTATCACTGATATTTATATGTAGCTTATGGCTGTGACCTAAAAATCAACTGATAATTGTAACTTATCACATATCAGTGTCTAGTGAAACTCAAATCTAATTCATGACGAACTTCAAAATAGTGTTTTCGATATTATTATGACAAAGTAAGAAGTATTGTAAAAATGAATTAATTGTCTTATACTGCATAAAAAAATTATTTTATCATATTTGATAACAATAAAAAATTGTTCTTCTCTTTTCTTTGATTATTTTCATTCTTAAGAAGTGAATAAGTAAAAATTAAAATAATATTCATTTTTATTAACTTCTATCAATTTTTAAAGCTGACACTAAATTTTTGAATTTTATAAAATTAACATATTAATTTTTAATGTAAATTTAATGAATTTAAATTTTCATTCTTAAGAACTGAATAAGGAAAAACTAAAATAACATCAATTTTTATTAATCTGTAATTTTAAATCTAACACTAAATTTTTGAAGTTTATAAAATTGATATATTAATTTTTAATTTAAATTTAATGAATTTAATTAATTATATTTTAATTGATTTTTAAATAACATTAATTGTATTCATAACAAAGATTTCTCCTGTAGCTTTTCTTTTATCTATGCGTGGTTACTGAAATCACGAGCGAATAATTATGGATTACGACCATAGAGATATTTTGCTTTTACCTCGCCATACGAAAATCCATAACGTTTCTGTAAATGACATTATACGTATCATTCGGACATAATTGTCTAGCAAATTGAATCCCTTATCATCGAGGGACACTCTCCATGGAAAACCCCCGCCAGTTCGTACTTTTGATTGAACTTCAACACTTTTCATCGCTTTTCATCATCGAAATACGATCTACCCTTCGATTCAATTTACAGATTTTATTGAATTTTCGACCAGGTATCTCCAAGTTGAAACCAGCTACAGGTATATGAAATAACGTTTACGCTGCATGGAAAATTGAAGATGCGGTTGGAATTACCTGGAATAAATCTCCAGCCGTAACTTTCTGAGGATCGCAAGTAACTTCCACTCGTTGACCAGTCAACATTATTACGACAATACGTCCGGAATTGCCAGCCTGTGAACAAAATAAATATTACGTTATATCTACAAACAAAAATTTAATATATGGAGGATGCCATTTCGAAATAAATCGCGAATCGACCATTGCCAATAAAAACAAATTATAAACCGATCAATATTTTCTAGAAGCAAATGGAAAAGTTATATTGGGTATCAAAATTAACCCTTTGCACTCGAGGGGCGACTCTCAGTCGCCATTAAATTGAAAATTGCCCAACAACGCGTGGTATATGGAAATAAAATAATTCTACGTCTTACAATTAATTTATATTTCTTATTTACCGTTATGAAAATATCGTCGACTTTATGGCAAAAAGTCTTCGAATTGCTATGTTTCTGTAACGAAAAGATCGTCGAGTGCAAAGGGTTAATACTCAAAATAAAAAGAAAAATCGTAACAAATATAAAATGTTACCAATCGATATAATTATAAATAATATTTTGGTTATCATTGTAACAATTAACGAAAAGCTACTTGAAATCTACCAATATAAAACAAAATTGTATACTATAACTATAAAACTCGAAAATTATATTAACACTGGAGTAATTGATAAATTATCTGTCGCGTATTTAATCCCCTTAATTCCTAATTAATTACGTTAATTATACTATATTAATAATTTATTGAGTTTTAATTGTAATTACATAAATTATACTTAATAACTTTGTTATTTGCAATTTCAATAATTATTAATTCAATTTGTTTACATTAATGGAAAATTCGTTGTATACATATACCACGTGGTGAAACATGGAGAAGGATAATACCAAGAGATCCGGTATGGTCTAGTGGCTAGGATACCTGGCTTTCACCCAGGAGGCTCGGGTTCGATTCCCGGTACCGGAATAAGATTTTTTAAATTCGTTTTTTTACGAATTAACACATGTATTTCGCCATCATATGTGACTAGTAGGAAATTACAAACACAGTCGAAAACACAGGTATTTTGTAGTCAATTGAAACTTTGAAAGATGTGTAATTACCTACATAATATCTGTGTTTTCGACTGTGTTTCAACCTCTTTACTAACTCTATATCTATACCGAGAGATACAGGTAAAATTAAGCAGGTAAGACGTTAGAAATGCTTTCCTTAGAACAACTACATATATCGACATGATTCTTTTTTTAAATTAGACATTATTTAGTGTCCATCAAACGTTTTAACGAGTATTCTTTAAGGTCTAAACAATTCTCTTCCCCATTGTTTTAAGTGGAATGACAGATTAATTTTCTACTTGATGAAATAATTTTCAAAGCAAGGTACATTTCGTGTTGTATATTTTAATCTATTCCAAAGATCTTCATTTAGCTGGAGTCATAAAAAAGTATGAGAGTAACGAGTAAGAGAAAGAAAAATAAAAGAACATCTCGTCCCATTGAGAAATCAATCTATCAGATCCATGTGTATCCATTCCATAGTAAAATACACTTGAGGATCAGTGAAGACCACGTGTCAATCCTTAAGGAGGTAATAGAAGAAATAATAAATCAAGAGAACAGCGGTATGCTGAATTGAAGTCTAGAATTGAGCAGACAAAGCAGAAATCTAATATGCACACGAAAGAAAAAGAAATAAACCTAATCCAGAAACGAAAATTCCTGCAAACGTTTCTCATAACAAATAGTCAATTAATGTTCAAGAAGAAAAAACACAAGAACCGCAACATTTAATAAAATAAACCTTAAAAAAATAATAGAAGATCTTAAAATATATAATAATAACTTAAACAAAAAGCAAGCAGACATCTTGAAAAATATAAATATTTGGAAAATTAAATGACGTATAATACAGAACAAAGAATAACTGTACACAAGAAATGAGTAAAGAATTTGAAAACTAAAAATATTTGCAAAATTCAATGACAAATAAGCTAAGAATTGGAAAACTAAAAATATTTGCAAAATTCAATGACAAATAAACGAAGAATTGGAAAACTAAAAATATTTGCAAAATTCAATGACAAATAAACGAAGAATTGGAAAACTAAAAATATTTGCAAAATTCAATGACAAATAAACGAAGAATTGGAAAACTAAAAATATTTGCAAAATTCAATGACAAATAAACGAAGAATTGGAAAACTAAAAATATTTGCAAAATTCAATGACAAATAAACGAAGAATTGGAAAACTAAAAATATTTGCAAAATTCAATGACAAATAAGCAAAGAATTGGAAAACTAAAAACATTTGCAAAGTTCAATGACAAATGGCACAAAACAAGGAATACTAGATGACAAATAAACGAAGAATTGGAAAACTAAAAACATTTGCAAAGTTCAATGACAAATGGCACAAAACAAGGAATACTGCAACATCATAAAACAGATGAAGATGACTCCTTGATGAACACCGACCATCAAGTACCTGGGGAAACCCAGCAGAAAGGAGTCAACGAAGAACACGCAGACACTCTCTTTACGACAGTCAACCAACGGAAGAAAGGCAAAGGAATGTCAGTATTGTACCTAGGGTAGAGACCCGCAGGAGGCCAAAAAAGAGAAGAGAATAGAGGACAGCCAACCCCTGATCCCCAACAACCAGCATAAAGCAGACTCGACACGAAACACACGTCTATCGACACAACACGACCAGGAAAGTTACACGCCCCTGCCTATATATAATGTTAATGTAGATGGCGAATAATGGTAAAAAAATTCACCCTAAAACTAGAATATCTCTCTTCACAGAGCGTAAACTTCGTGGCTATTACCTACTGTAAGGCAGGTGAATTTAACGACCATCGCAGTTTCGGGAACAATGTAACAAAAAGCGGGGAAACTGTTCTTAATTGTACCTTGACAATGACGGTATAAAATTAAGTATATACAGTGAAATTGGAATGTAAATTGCAATGGGGTGTAAAATGAAACGTTCACAGGTATACGAGCCATTTTAGCGGTCTGATGGAGTCTAATATGAACTGATGTGATTTTTAAATTTTAAATCAGTGACCTGGAGGTTTATATTTAGGATATAAGAATTATTATTAAATAATTATATTTAGGACTGACTTTTTCTTTTCTTTTTCGAGAACTTACTATTTAGATCTAGAGATCAAAGTAAGAGTTGTGTAACTAATTGTACAGACATGTATAGATTGCAGACTTGATACTTGGATATCAATTAGAGTTAATACACTTGGTTATGGACACTTAGATTATGGAAGAGAAACTGTTGAATTAATATAAGGATGGATATTTCAGAAATTAATAGAAAATGAGAAAATAGAGGAACTTAAATTGGGGATAATATTAAATATGTCTGAAGTGCCATTTTTGCTGAATTGATTATCACAATGAGAACAATGCTGTATGATACAGTCTGTATTAGGGTGTTTATGATGACGTCATTATGGAATCAGATCATAATTGTTAAGATAGGGTAAATAATTTTGTTTCAAGCTATGTTTTGAATATCATTATGACATTAGAAATTGGAATTTTGTGATACCTTCAGATTAAATGACACCAGAAATTTGAAAACAATGAAAAATAGAAAATGACAGAGCAACTAATGAATTAAATTGAACGTGAACAATGTTTAGGTATTCTCGAACAAATGATATATCCTGAGAAAAAACTGAGGACGATATTAAAAGAATTATCTCCAAACAATTAACAAAATTTGAAACATGGAATGAGAAAATATTTGTATCTGTTATTTGCATAGAAATTAAGTAAAACTGCAGAATGTGAAATTTACATATAGATATTCATTGTTTAAAAATATTTAAAAATCTGTGCAAGGTAATTGTACTTAAATGTATCAAGTATATTAAATATAATGATACGTATATTTAAAAAATTAATAAAAATTTGGTTAGTTTACAGTAACGAGATTACTCATATTTTTTCACGAAATATTAAAGTTAATTTGTTCATTCTTTAATTAATAGTATTAAGTCTGGAAGTGCTGCAAATAACACTATATTAAAGATCGAACTCTCATCACTCCGGTATGGTCTAGTGGCTAGGATACCTGGCTTTCACCCAGGAGGCTCGGGTTCGATTCCCGGTACCGGAAAATATTTTTTTATCTTTTTTTTCCCATAAAATTTACATATTTTTTAATAGCAAAAGAATGTAGAAAGTCAATCATGAATATAAATATTGTTAAAGGATTATTTATAAGATTATGTAAGACGTTACGTGTTATAGATAAACACAATTTTACCAATACTAATGGCATAATATAATACATATATATTCAATAATATTCCTTATATATTTAATAGAGCATAAATTTAAACAATCTTGAGAATTATAAAGATAATTAACTATGAGATTATGAAAAATCATACTAAACAATTACTATACTCCAAGAATATACCCAATACATGTATAAAAGATAAAAACCTGCAATACTAACAAATTTGACAACTAAATAAAGTTCTTCCATAACAAGTAGAAGTAAAAGCTTTTAAATACTGAAAGCTCAGTCAAAAGAAGTCACTGAAATATTTTTTAAGTGAAAAGATCTTATTGTTTTGGGAATAACCGTACCTATTCAACAGAATTGATGTGTATGACTCAAAACAAAAGGATTTGAAATAGTAGATGGAAAGAGCACATCCTCTAAAATAGCCAACATCACTAACAGTCAACAATAGAGCACGGGTAACTCGACACTGTTATTCAATATTTACACAGCGGACCTACTGAATTCGTTCAATTTAAACACGAACACTGCATTAACGCAATAACGGTTTCAGACAACTTATTATTAGCAATTTACGTACCCGGTTGTGAATTAACATGGGAACAAAATTAAATCCTATTTGAGAAAATTTACCTGTTAAAGGTTACAAATAAATACAGTGCAACATAAAACTATAACGTTTCACTTAAAAATTATAAAAATAATTTTCAACTTATTTAAAATTTTCAATTGAATTTAAGTATTATAAATATACAAAAATTTAACAATTGCCTTTCTGCTAATAAAATAATAATAATAATAATAATAGTAGTAGTAATAATAATAATA